AGGGAGTGTGTTTTGGCTACCTTCGACAAGGCCACATCAGCCGTGAGTGTCAAGCGAGGCTTACATGTGAAATCTGTAACCAAAATCATCCTACAGTGCTGCACATAAACCGTCAAACACGTGCCCTGGAAGGTGAAATGGAAACGACGCAAGTACCAACTCCTCACACTACATGTGGACATACAGGGGCCGGAAAGGACCGCACTATGCTACCGGTGCTGCCAGTTCAAGTCAAGGTTGTGAAAGGGAACTGCATAATTCAAACATATGCATTCCTGGATCCAGGTAGTACGGGGACATTTTGTTCGGAAAGGTTGATGCATCGGCTTAATGTAGCTGGAAAACGAACGCACATTCGTCTGCGGACAATGGGTCAGACAAGAAAATGTTCAGCTTTCTCATTGTTCAATCTCGAGGTTGCTGGACTACGTGGCACCCAGTTCTACCCACTTCCAGAAGTCATCACACAGCAACAAATGCCTGTCACCACGCAAGACATGGTTAAATCCGATGATCTGCAAAAATGGCCATATTTGTCACAGGTTCATATGCCATTCATAAATTCAGAGGTTGACTTGTTGATCGGAACCAATGCACACAAGCCACTGGAACCATGGGAGGTAGTTAACAGTCAAGGAAACGGACCATTTGCAGTTAGGACTGTGCTCGGCTGGGTTGTAAATGGCCCATTGGATAGAAACGCAGATCCTAGTATTCAAAGTGTGACTGTGAATAGGATTTCAGTCTGCAAATTGGAGAAACTGCAAGTAAAACAGTACAACTATGATTTTAGTGAGAATGAAGCTGAAAAGCAAGACACATCAATAGACGATATTAAGCTTATAAAAATGATGGACTTGTCTGCAAAATTACAAGATGGAAAATACTGTGTGAAATTACCTTTCAAAAATAACAATGTCCACTTACCAAACAATCTTGCTGTGGCCAAACAAAGGATACAAAGGTCGAAGAAAATCATGCGTAACCTGGAATTCCACCAGAGAGTAAAATGTAAGCACAAGCAAGCGAGTGGATTGAACGCAAGTCCTGTGGCATATAACACCAAAGGCCGCCCAAACACAGTGGTTGAGCCCACAAGAGTGTGTCTAACATTGGACGAGGTGGATAATGCAGAATTCTCCATTATACGTTATTGTCAGCGACAGAGGTTCAAAGATGAATTGGAGGCCCCACAAAACAACAGAAGAGTAAGTAGCCAGAGTTTCATATCTTCTCTGGATCCTGCTCTACAGGATGGATTGTTGAGAGTGGGTGGCAGGCTAAACAAAGGTGCCATGCCAGAGGAAACAAAACATCCGTTAATCCTGGCCAAGGAACCTCATGTAATCAGGCTCATCCTGAAGAGTGCCCATCAAGATCTTGGACATGCAGGACGGATGCATACTCGGTCATCAGTGAGAAGGAAGTACCAGGTTATCAAAGGCAACTCTGCTGTGCGGAAGATTATTGGTAAGTGCAGCATCTGCAGGCAATACACTGCACAACCCTTGGATCAAAAATTGGCAGACTTGCCTGCAGTCAGAATTCTGCCTGACCATCCTCCAATTACGAAGCTGTCAGAAGATCCACACGATTTGGAACCTATTACACCCAACCGCTTGTTGTTGAGAGGCAAACCCTCCCTTCCTCTTAGAGTTTTCAAACCGGAGGACCAGTATGGACGGAGGAGATGGAAGCAGGTGCAATACCTAGTCGACCGGTTCTGGAAGAAATGGGGTGAGAGTATTTACCTCTGCTCCAGAAGCGACAGAAATGGAATGAAAAGATCTGGCTTTAGGGTATGTGGTGGACATTATGATCCATCGGCCCACGGGGACCTGGGCCTCTTAGAAGAGTTTTGGAGGTATTCCCAGACAGTCACGGTCTGGTTCGATCCGTGAAACTCAAAACAAAATCAAACTAACTTGAGAAGCCAATAGCCAAACTGTGTCTGGTACATGGCTTTTGAAGTCACAAAATAAAGCAGAATTATTTGTCTCCTTTTTGTTTTTGAAAATGAATTGCCATGACTGTTTACCATGCCAATTAGGGGCCGGTGTATAGGAGCCAAATATGTGTTTTTCTTTGCGTAATTGGTCTTTGTGTCCATGAGGGGGCGCATTCATCTTTTATATGAATCATGAGCTCAGGGTTGAGTGCAGGTGTGACCCAGAAGGGCAAATTGGTTTTTGACCGCACAAGCGGAGTTTGTTTTTCACTGTTGCTCGTGTGATACCACTGTGGATCCTTTTAATAGCACTGTTAAATAAATGAAGATTATTGCATCGTACCCTTTGAAGACTTGGAGGATTTTATTGAGCACAACAGAGCAACCACAGCATAGCCGCTTAGCGCGTCATCAACAAGCCTGGGTCTACAGCCTCACACTAGCAGCATTGGGCTGGCTAGTATATTAAGGGTAAATCCCACTTTACCTGCAGCTCCAGGCGCATATCTGCTCACCTGCAAATAGATTAAACACTGACAACAAATGATTAGTCTATAATTCTTAATTTAGCAAAATAAAAACATTCTATGGTGGACAGATAACTATGGCCTATGCAGGTGGACAAATGCAAGACTCTACAAGGACTCTGATTGTGTATCCATGTTATGACTCTAGTGTGTTCTGATTGTCTCTTGATGCGACACAGATGCCTGTCCATGTGTGACGTATCTGTGACGTAACAATGACTATATAAACCATGTTCTGACTTTGTTCTGTCTGAAAAAACTGAAACAACTGAAACCTGAAGGAAACCTAATAAACTTCCAGGAGCTCTGGTGCGCCACGATCCCGTCTCTGTGTGGTTAATCTTCGTAATGAATTAATACTACGGAACATGGACGTGGGAACTATATTTTCTGAGAGGGGGGGCGGGTTTTTGTTTTTGTTCGGAGAGTCAAGGGGGAGACGCATACTTGGATTGGACTGGCTAAAAACATAGCATCTAAATTGTTATGAAAACGAAAGTGAAACAATATAAATCAAGTAAGGCACTTATCAAACTTGTTTATTTCAAAGCTTGTATTACAAACATGATTTTTCTGTATCAGCTGTCTATCAGACGCACACACGACTCCAAGAGAAGGTAGGCTTTGTAAATAAGAACTTTCATATTTTTCCAAAAGTGGACCTTCTCTCAGTAGATCTACTGATGATTTGTTCAAGCAGATTAGAAACATCACATTCATCTATCAGGTCACTATGTGCATACATAATGGCCACATGCGTCAGTCTCTGCTCTCTCCTGTTTCATTGTGTTGCGTAGCCAGGTCTTCAATCTGCGCAAGGCTGAGATGCCGCATCTGCGGACAAGACAGGTACAGATTTTGTCACCCCTAGTTCCGACGTCTATGCCACGGAAACACTCAACGCGCATGCTTCAACTCACATAACATCGAATCAGACAGCTGTGTATGACCGCTCTCTAGCGGCGGCGTAAGCGTACGACAGTTCACACATTGACAAAAATACTTTTCCACAATTGTGGAAATTAATTGCAAATCATAGATTTATAATGTCTAAAATATTATTAATAAATTATGTATGTGAAAAAAGCTGACCCTAATCCTGGGCAAGAAAACCCACCCATCAGTTTTTTCAAGAGGAGTGACAAAAATTCCACCAATTTACTGTGGACTTGTGAAGGGTACAATGTGTGGCCCAAGTTAAACATGTGTATGGAAGTATGTGATGTAATAAAGTATGACTTCAACTGTAAACTTCTCCTGTGTCCATGTCCACTTAAAATGTATGTAGAATTACTGCCCAGGGGATGACGCTGTTAAAGACAGCTCAAACGCACAGCTTTTGTGTAAAACGTATAGGAAATAATAATAAAAAAGACTATTTATTGCAAACTTTAAATCAATTAATCAAAAGAAAGATTTTTTTAAATTTCATTTCCGTGATTTTTGGCTTTGAGGTGGAAAAATACATTATACATTCTCACATCTAAAGAGTTGATACTGATGTATTTAGAAGAGTAACTTAACATTGCATAGATAATATTAACATGATATATTTGGAGCTAATCAGCAGACAATCTCTGGTCTTTGCTTATATATTTAAAAGCAAGCCTGTCTTGTAAAATATCTGATTTTTGCCCTTTTCTGAATCATAAGATTAGATACAGAAATGTCAAAGTCCAGAGGGAACTGATGAAATGCTTGAGGTTGCCGTGAACACAGGAAATAAGCAAAATACACAGAACTCTTCTCAGGATGAATATACATCAACCTTTTACACAATGGATGTAGGAAGTTCCCACTGCCACAATTAGTTTAAAAATTAATACATTTAATTTAAGTTCATTATATTTTTTACAACAGGTGAAATTTCATAATCAACCATAAAAAGCACTTTTGTGGTCCTCAAGTATCAGTGCAAACCCATTACAAAAATATTCTACAGCAAAGCTATCTTTGTGACAGAGAACTTTCCAATCTGCCACTGGTCCATCTTGGAGTGTTTTCATAATACATTCACAAACAAAATAAATAATAAACTCTGGCAGCATGGTGGCGCAGTGATTAGGTCTTGTGTTCGATTTGAACTCCAGGCCATTCTGTGTGGAGTTTGCATGTTCTCCCCATGTCTGCATAGGTTTCCTCTAGATACCAATAAAAACCTGTACAATAGATCTAGCATGTGCATGGCAACCCTGCTCCCATCACTGTGTGGAGTGAGAAGAAAAATGTTAAAATGTAAAGCGCTGTGACTGTGAAAGGCCCTATATGAATTAAGACCTGTTACTTACTAAACAATGGAATAAAACAAATCTTAAAATATTAAATAAATTACAATTTCCACAAAGAAAACAAACATGTCGTCAAGTGTTTGATTCAAACAGAGGTGGTATTAACAGAAAAATGCATAAGTTAAAAGAGGAACTTCTATCTTTCGTACATCTTCAGTGTTGCATTACGGTGGTTATGCCACACACACACAGAAGTCAGTTGTGAACAATAGAGTGATTGTAACACACCTTCCACATCTAGTCCTCCTCCCGGTGCTGCTTTGTTAAGAAGTATTTAAAGAACTCGTACACAGACCACGCAATCGCAGTTGAGGGAGTCTGATATATCACTCTTGCTTGGACCCCTTTAAAGAAAGCAGCCATGCCCCCCAGCCTGTACACTGTCCTGAAGGCATTAGCCATGCCTGACAAGTGCCCACTAATGTTCATGGAGTCCAGTGCTACATTCTCCTGTGTGTTGAGTAATGTTTTGCACACGTCCAGAGGCGTGGTTACTGCGGCAGAGATAGCTCCTGCTGCTGCCCCTGACAGAATGTGAGAGCCTGGATGATACAGTCTGTTGGGGTTCAACTGTTCTTGCATGAGCTCATATGTGATGAAGTGGACAGCCTGAAACGGGATGTTCATGGTCAGCTGGGTGCTGTAGCTGCGGTAAAAGGCTCCGACTCCTTCTGAGTGAGTTATAGTCCGGACACAGTCCCAAAGACCCCGGTAAGGGGAATTATACATCTGCATCCTCTGCTTCACCACTAAACCATAAAAGAAAAAAAAAGTGTGTTCATTAATTTGACTTGCAAATTGAATTACTTAATAACTTTGTTACCTTCTGCTGGATTCATTATAGCATCATGTAGAACTGTGGCAACACTACCCGCCATACCTGTGTACATAAAATGTAAAATTTGTTTTCAATTCAAAGCAGTTTAAACACAGAAGCCCTATGAAGCATCTACTGAGGAATAGGTACACAACATACAGTGTTGTGTATTCACAAGGAAAATGATTGCAGTGTAAATAGTATTCTAGTGCTTTGATCTGTAATATCTGGTACCATTTGCTAGATGGCTGTTTCGTCCGTTCTGAATAGCATCACTTAATGGCCGTTTGACTCGTTCGTAGCAGGCAAAGTATAGAGCATGTGCTGGTCCAGCTCCCAGTATGGTGATGTTGAGGCCCCTAAAAGGTCTCCAGAAGCCTTCGGTCCGGGCGATGCGTTTCAGTGCTTCATACACACTTCTGTACTGTGCGTTTGGATCTGGCTGCAGACTCTGCATCCTCGTCTTAAACAGAAAAAAGACACATTTAACAAGAAACATATCAGTTGTGGGAGATGGAAACTGCAGAGCCAAGGCAACTGCTTCACTGTGATCTGATGCATCAACAATCACAGGCACCTTTCTGTGACACTGAGGGCTCTCCTAGCTACAACAAGGTGCTAGTGTATGAGGATTGATGGTCGCTTTCTTTTCTCATCTTGTTTTGCTATTGTTTTTATTACGTAACATCACAGCTGAAAACGCATACGTGTATATACAACAATTTGTTGTTGTGCTAGCTCCAGTTTAGTTCAAAAGAAATTAAACAAAATAATAATGAAATCTTACTTGTTTTTCAAACTTCTATACTAAAGTATATCAATCATATCCTATTTCCAGAGGTCCAAGAAAAGATGTTTAATAGATCTGCAACAACAGGGCAATGAATACCTAAATGGTGTTTCAATATTTGGCATCATTTATCTTGTACAAGCAAAAAAAATATTTTCAAACATTAATCATCAAGTTGTTTCTGTCATAATTTATTGATATTTACAATGACTTTATCAGTAGGTAATTTAACTGAGCCATTGATAAAAATGGTTGCATATTTGAGGTGTGCATATTCACTATTAGGAAAGTTAGGTATAGTGATGTTTTAATTGTAAATTCATTTGTGTTATCCTTAGAGTGCTTATTTAATAAATGAGGAGGATACTCATTCACACCCACTGACTGGGCGGACTCTAAATGTGCAGAAGGATGATAAGATGTAGCCTTTTAGTAACAACTCCCTAACTAATCCAAAACCTTCATCAGTGGAACAAGTTATGCAGAAAGATAAAACAAAAAGGTTTGTCAGGGGTGTGGAGATGCAATCCCACTTACAACCAAGAAGTACTTCATATTTATATAAAAAAACCTCTTATTCTTTAAGTTACATAGTATGCACAATCTGTCTATCAAACACTCACCAGAAGTTACGCATTTCCTTGTCAACACAAGTCACTAAGGGCACTCTACAACATCACTTTTGTGCAATGCTATGGAAGATGTAGGATACTTTTCTGTCTGGAGCTGCAAGACTCAGGATATTAGTAAGAAGACATGGTTTTTATATTATTTTATCGGGGAAATACGAAAATCAAACAAGCCTTTCAGTGCATTTTATGAGTAAAGTAGTGGGGCTTTAAGTGAATGACGATACAGATAGCTAACTGTTGCAATGGTGACACATGATGGTCGTATGCTTCAAATACGTGATTACTGATAATAACTGTATAACCTAGGATGAAGTCAAGTCTTCTGGGAGTCCCTCGTGCGTAAATTGGCTAACTCAGGAGCTAACTAAGGATGGGAAGCTTCAGAGGTTTCCTGTTGTGCCTAGGCAGCGAAACATGCTAAGCCTTGCATCTGGACTCAAAGTGACCGTGAAATGCAGTACTGTGACGGATATTTACCTTGACAGAGTCCACAGGGTACATCACGGTGTGCTCCAGTATTCCAGCCACGGCTCCCGCTGTCATGTGGATCATCACAGGCACATGCGGCGGCAAGCTCTCGTAATCTACTTCACTGCTGAACGCGATGCTTTCTGGGCCTTCAACCTGCGACATTTCACGACTTGTCACCACCGAGTTTGACTCAATGCGTGGCAAGTCTTTGGAAGGTGAATGTATGGTTTAGATAGCACTGGAAGAGCCCTCATCGACGCGAAGAGCCACAACATCATCAACCCAGCACACGCGGCTCTAGCCAATCACGGCACGGATACTTACACGGAGGGCGGGACCTGCGCGCAAACCAACCAATCCAAAGTTGTCATTCAAAAGAGTGCACGGGACTTGTTGTGAATGGAGTCGTCCGCTGGAGTTGCACAAACGTCTTGAACACTTTTACGTATTCACAAACTATGTATAAAAAAAAAAAAAAAAAAAAACATGTATGTGGCCTTCAAGCAGGTATAGGCTAAAACAGTGCAGAACGCAACCACTCATCGGATAAAACATGTGTATAACTTCTCCTTGTACTTAAATGTACACAAAAATCAAGATAATATGCAACGTCATCCTCTCCGGGAGTGCCAGTAGCTTATGTAAATGACAAGTGGAAGTGGAACAACGTCATTACAATTGAGGAAAAAAAAAACTATTACACACAGCATGGTGGAATTTATTTATTAAATACGCACACAAATAAACGTGTTAAAACTCCTTAAGTTCACATAAATGCCAGTGTGCAATGGCTTCTAAAAATGAAGCCCCCATCCCCAAAAGAAAGACAGTGAACAGACATACAGTACATTATAGTATATTGCACAAGACACGGCTGCAAGATAGATGAAAGGGTTGAATTGCATTGCTGTTGTGGTTTGTATAAAATGGCCAATTTATTTTACAGGAAGAAACAAGACAACCCATGAAACACACCTTAAAAAAGGCAAAAGTAGGCAATTACCATACCATACAAATAAATTATCTCCAAAAAGCCCCTCCCAAAAAGTGCTTTATCTTATCAAATGTATGGCACAATTATAATTTATTAGAACATTATTTCTTATATGAATATGCCCAAATGACTTAAATATATCTCCATTGATTTTGGAAGCTTGCCCAACAAGTGGATAAGTCAAGACCAAAATAAGAGGAAAGTCAGACATGCCATTGGAAGCTCTGTTTAAGTTATAGGTTAATAGGCAGTGTGGGTGATTGGATGCCTGCTTCCAGCCACACAGAGGTAGAGGGGCTGCAACGCTGTGCTGTACGCCGGTGGATTCGCCTAAGCCGCAGTAAGTACAGCATAATCGAAAGCAACACAATGAAGAAACATGCCAAGAATAAGTAGTGGTTGTTGACAAAAGAAAAACTGTGCCGCCAGTGAGAGTGTAATCCTTTTAGGCTTTCTTGTTGGATATCCCTAAACAGAAACAAAGAGCATTATACTCAACAAATCACGACTAAATATTGCTGTAAGATTAAAGAGTTCCTTGGGTATTAAAATGTGTCATGTTGCATTACCAAAACAAACCTTTTACAAAGTAATTTAAAATCCATGCTAAAATATTATAGTGTAGTTGCAGACGCATCTTACCTCAAAGGCAGAAACCTTGTACGGTAAAGTATTGCCCCTAAAGTCCATTGGACTTCTTTGTCATATACTAAAAGGGCCGTCTTGAGATTTTGATACGTTTTTGGAAAAGAGAAGCCTGTGTGCAAAACTTCATACATCCATGCAGACTTAAAGCACTGGTACCTGGAAAGAAGTACATTATATAAAACATACATACATGAATTGTATATTATTGTTGTGTCAAAGTAAAGAAACAAACAAGTATTAAAGCCACATACTTGAGTCTATGAAAATCAGCATGAGAGGCATACAATCCAGCATCAAAGCGCTCCTTCAGCGTTTTCCACTGAACGGCACAATAATTCTGGAGAAGGTAACATCCAATGCATTAAATTTCAATTCAATGATGTCTAGCTATTAGTTAGTTAAAACCTTTATACCTTAGCAGCCTGTGCATACTTAGTTGCATTATACTCTCCACCCATTCGTAAAACATCCTCAGTGCAATAGTAGAATTCAGAAAAGCCATAAAACTGGCTGTTTTCAAAGTCGATTGTGGGCTGATAGACACCGCTAAGAGATGTTTGATTTTCATTGGTACGGTTCAAGTACGGCTGGAGGAGTTGTCTGCACTCATCAAAGTCCCCTGTTCCTCTTACAAAGAACTTCAGTGTTGAGGATCCAATGACATCCTCCATGTCAGTGGGCAGACAAGGATCGAGGAAGGGAGAGTCTAACGTTTCACCAAAATGCTCATTTAATATCCTGAATGAATAAGCACAAAATGAATTACTTGCTTTGACCCATCCAATGTAGAACCCAAAACATGTATTGAGTCTTACTTATTACGCAAAATTGTATTTCTTATTATGTCCTGCTCATATCTTTGACGCGCTGCATTGCCACCAAAACCCAAGAAGGTTGAGACATAAACTCGATACACATGCTCTGTGCGATGTGCATCACACCCCAAGTTAAATTCAGCCAGAAAAGTTTTGGCCACTTCCTCCTACAAAAGACATATCATGTAAGCAGAAAGTACAGGCTTTCAAATAATATATCAGCAATGATCATGTGAGAGTGAGGGAAAGTACAAAATCCACATAAAACATTTCCATCTTTACTCATGCAACAATCTCACAGTGATGAGAAGAGTTCTTCTCCACAGGACAATAATGGCACATTATGTTTAAATCAGGAAGTGACAGACATTGGAGGGGAGAAGAACAAAGAGTGAGAAAATAAAACAAAATTGGTTGTGGATAATAACCTGCTGTGGAGAGGCAAAGCTTACAGTTTTGGGTACTTCATAAGCAATTTGCGTGGAGACACCACCCATGTCCAAGACACCAGCAGTCCTTTTCCTCACTCGCGCCTCCTGCTGGTCACCACCTGGGACGTTCACTTCAACTACAGCTTCTCCTTCTAAAATGTCAGAGGAAAAAATATTAAAATCAAACATAGTATTATTATTTTCAACGAAAAGTCTTACCATTATGGCCATTATACACATGGTTGAACTTTCCCAGGACAAAGTTAATGCCTATCCATGCATAAACACCTAATTAAAAAGAGGACAAGAGGCATCATTTAAGGAGTCAAGATGAATCAAAAAAAAAAAAAACAAACAAAAGAACATGCCTTCTTGCTTTCCAGAGATTACTTCCACGTGAGAGTCAGAGAAAAGGAAGTTGAAGTCCACTGGAATATCTGTCCGCAAATCTTCAAGAAGTGCTTCTTGTTGGCTAAATTTCAGCAAGAAAAACACACAGATACACTTTTATAGTGTAAAAAGTTTAGAGAATCCTACAAATAATGTTAAGCTATTTTCATGCAAAATAAGACATACCTCTCAGGAAGTATTCTCATTCCAGCTGTACACAAAATGTATAAGGGTGTTTCTTGGTGCTTATATTTGGGAATATGTTGTGCAGCAAAATCTAACAGCGGTTTGATATGATCACTGGCTTTTGCAGGAGTTTTAGCAAGTTCAGAGATGCCTGGAAAACCAAAACGAAGAGGCAAAACAATAAGTGGTAAATGGTTGAAAACTACCACTGTCAAAAGAAAGAAAAAAAATAGAGATGAGAGCATACATTTGCTGCTGCTGCTAATGTGACGCATATAATTCATAATAGTTGTGCTTATTTAATTTAAGCACCATTTTATAGCATTTATTTATTTTAATGGGACAGTGCATATTCATGAATAGCAGGAGCTGTAAATAGACCAGATTGTTGCTATGTAGCTAATTTGCACCTGTAGTTCCAGTCACACTCTCAAACACACGCTCATTCAACCCTCACCTTTTGTACATGTTTTTAGAAAGAGGAGCACCGAGAGGAAACGTACAAAGACACAGAGAGAACGTGCAAACTCCACACAGAAAGGTCCTGGAGGTGGAGTCAAACCCAGAATCTTCTTGCGCCACTGTCCCACCCACGGTCGACTAAATTAGTTAAAAGATCAAGATGTTATCACCTGGTTTTATCTTCATGACCACTGGTTTTCGGTGCTCATCTCTCATTTGTCGAATGTCTAGTAGCTCATGGGGGTTGCCGTTGTGTTGGGGCCAGCAATAAACAAACATTCTAGAGCCACTGCTGCCACAGTCCACCACCAGACCATAATTCAGATTGGGGTTGCTTGTATCCGTCGCATCTATAGTCACTCTGGCCAGGTGCCTTTAAGAAGTTACACAGAGAAGCACAATTAGACAAAACTAACTAGATCCTTCAAACATTTTAAAATTAGACTCCAAGACAAAAATGCCTCTAACTTGAATAAGTCAAACAATTAAAACATTATTTTACCAGTAAACGTAAGCTTTTCTGATTTGTTTTTTCATTTTACAGTTCTCAATCAAAAATAAAACAAATTAAGCTCTTCCTCATACTATAACAAAAACTATAACAACTAAAACAACTAAAGCATACATAAAATTGTTGGGAAATAAAACTCTGCGAAGATCTTGCTGACAATATTGAACTATTTTGAACCATATCTTTTGGCTTCTTGGGTTTTCTAATACAAATCATTATTTCAATAAAAAATATCTGGTTGACTAATATAGAGGCTTTGCGGTCAGGCTTTGCACTCCGCTGTACCCAGCTCCTCTGTGGACCAAGTACAGTCGCAGGTCCTTCCACAGACTCAAAGTTGCATTCAACGATGCCTTCAGGCTGCTGCTCCGGGTGCCCAGGTGGCACAGTGCCAGTGAACTGTTTGTGAACGCTCATATTCGCACCTGTGAGGCTCTGATACGGCATCTAACCTTTCGGTTCAAGGAACGTCTGGAGGAGTCTTATAACAGTATCATTAGGACTCTGACCAACGGTACAATGAGCTCATGTCGCTATACATCTGCTCTGAGAAAGGGACTACTACTGGGACTGACTTTACATTGCATTGTCCTTTTTTATTAAATTCTAATCTATTTTATTTTGTACGGACCAATTTTATCTTGAGTCTGAATTAAAGACTAATAATAATATAGCTGGATCAATTAGGAGTCCTCCAAGCGATTATTTGACTTCCAAGTTGAACAGCACTATTTATTTTACACATTTCTATCAAAGATTGTACAAAATGTCTCTTATAGCATGTGTCTTGGTGAGACAGTAATGAGAAGTAATTTACCTGTGAATAAGATTTTCTTTAGAGGGCCAGATGACAGGACCCTTTCCAGTTGCAAGCAGAAAGTACAGCAGCCCAATGAGCCCAACAATGAGACCTACAAGTACCCACTGTCTGAATGAAGGAATCAGCAGCCGTGGAAGAACTTGTGAGGACAGACTGAAATGCCATGATGCAGGAAAAAGACATGAGAAATTTAACCTGTCAAAAAGAAGGTAAACAGGTTTGATTAGTAATGTACTTGGACCAACTTATACATGGTATTTATCAGACCGAAAAGCGCAAACCTTCCCATGTTGACCAATCTTTGATTATATTTCCATTGCTAGGAAGGACCAACGGGGCAGAAGTCGTTGCCACCACCCCACTTGAATCCTGCTACTTGTATTCATATTCTGTAATAAACCAAACATTAGTAACACGGCTTTTGGTGGCTGATGGGTTCAACCAAGAAGAATATGTTTGAACTCTAAACAATGAACGATGAAGAAGAGATTCTAAATTAGTCAACTAGCTTAAGCAGCAACAGCAGTCCACGGAAACATCGATCTGTTCCGTTTTATATTAGTTATATTTTACCAGGCCAAGGTGTAACCAAGTCTTAGCAAAACATAAGCACGGCAAAATAAGTTCACAAGCTCCAATTACGCTCAAACAATAAGATCAATGTTGTTTGTACATTGTATTAAACTTACAAGTCACACAGGTTAGTGGTTAGGCATTAGCTACCGGGTGCATCTGTCATGTTGTCGGCTGCAGGATGCTAACGGCTAACGGCTAATCTACAGCTATGTGGCAGCTTACGTCGTTTACGCAGTGTGACGTGTACAAAGCATACGGGTACTTTAGGTTTCATAAATTACATACAGTAGATCCATGACATAAAAGCATAGATTTCAAAATGTCGCCACTGTGAGAGGTGATGAGAATGGTTAAAAATGAATTATATCTATTCTCTTGCACAGTGCTTTCCACAAAAATAGCTGGGTAGATATGTAACATAAATACGGAGTTTAAACTTCAATCGATTATATTATGTTTGTTTACATTTGGAAGAAAAATAGGTTCTCTAAAGGGGCATTTTTTTATTCTTTGCCAAGGAAAAATAATGTGTAGTTTTTGATTGATTGATTTTATTTATTTGAGCAGAAATTTTACAATCATATGTCTTCACAATATTTTCCCTAGTTTCACCATGTGTTGTATATCTACAATATCAATATGTATTTACAAATGAACCTTTATTTACAGTAATGCATTGTTTTTGAAAATGTACTGAATGTGTAAAGTAATGTGGATAACATCACCATGGAGAAAGGTGATTTCCCCAGACTTAAGTCACGTGTCAGATCCCAAACAGGTTTATTTATAGTTTATAAAGCAGAATTGATTAAACTATAATATATACATATACTTAATATCATACACTTAAGTGTGCATATTTTTAGAGAACTAAATACTTTTTAAAACATTAGAGAGATAAAAAGACACATCAAGTCATTGATTAAAGTTTATATTGAAAGACAAAACCTTCAAGCATAAAAAGTATAATATTTACAGGCAGTAAAAAAAATTTCTTTGGCGTTATTTGGATTTATTGAAGACTTCAATGAGGCAATTAATGATGCTTGCTTTTACATCCATACGACTTCTATGTTCCTTGCTCTCCCTCTGTTTGTCCACTGAGAATGATGAATTCTCCAGCAGAAACTGATGTTCACAAACACAAGTTTCTTGCAATTGATTATTAATTTATTGACAGTTTCCGCCGTCATGTCAGTTCTTTGTACATCAAGGTGTTGCAAACTTTGTAGAGGCAGGGAATCACATTGGTTCATATTGCCTCGGCGAAGCACTTGTTGAAAAAGTAAGTTCAGGGGACAAGGCAAGGAGATCAATGTAACCTTTTGAAGGAGGGAAGACTGTTCCAAGAGGCTGGCAAGTATACTCTGAAGTAAGAGGTCCTTTGTAATGTAAGGTTTCATTTGGCTATGGTCATAGGAGTACCTGCAAAAATAAAAAGAACATATATGATGATAATAAAACCCACACATTTCAACCATACATTGTTTTCTAAAGATAAAACATTTGACTTTCAAATAGCAAAGCACAATGTTTAAATATACTGTGTATAAAAAGAGATAAGCATTAAATATACTATCCTTACCGTAGTGTTAGCTTGCGAAGGTCTGGCAGATGTAACCTACTCAAGTCTATTGGGCGACTAAAAGGAAGCGCAAACAAGTGCTCAGAAGGCTCAAGTAAGATAGAAAATTCTCTTAGCCTGGAACAAGTCTGAAGGATTGTCAACAGAGCAGAATAAAAACGGGTTGTTTTTACTCCTTCCAGAGTGAGTGAGAGCAATGAGGACCCTACAACACACACAGGCTTTTCCAGATTCTCCAAATAGTCTGAATACTGTAAAGACAGAATTTTTAGTTGGCCTGAGAAAATATTTAGCGCTTCAGTTAAATGTGCTACTTCCGCATTTTGGATTGTTTCGGGATAATCAGCATTGATAGATATAATACTGATGTCTGGGCATAAATGGCCTAGAAAAGCCAAGGACTCACAAGATAATGTGGCAACATCCTTCAGCCTGAGAGTTAAATCATGTTTGCTTTGTATATTACATGTTCTTAACTCCAACCCATTTGAATCTTCTTCACTCGCACTACAGTTTTCATTAATGTCTCTCACTTGGTTATCGGCGTCATTGGATTCAATTCTAGCCATACTATGCTTCCACCATTTCCAAACATCCTCCAAGGGAGAAATGTTGTGCTTAGCAGAGAATGTGTCTGTCTGGTCAAAAGATCTGTGCAAAATATTTTTGCAAGCTTGTGCAATGCCTTCAATTGCTATTTTTTCTAAGCTAGGGACTGAGAGAAGAAGGTAAGCAGCCACCGCCACAGCATCCCCATTTTCTTCTTCAAAACCAATATCTAAAGCGAGCAGGCTTTTGAGAGGTAAAGGGGGTACAGAAGAAATGGCAGATGACACATGACTGCATGATGCTGATGTTGAGGAGCAGCTTGTGTGAGAGGACAAAGCATCTCCTCCAAGAATAAGCAAATCAACAGGAGAGACCAGATGACAGCGAGATAAGTCCAGGTGTGCCAGTTGGGTGAGGTTTCGGACAATCACTCTAAGAACACTACTATCAGTGGTGGTTCCAGCCAGAGAGAGGGAGCGCAATTTGGGTAAAGACAGAAAAGTTTGGGAGAGAATTTTTGAAGAAATTTGCTGTGCTCCAGAGAAATCCAGGCAAGAAAGATGCTGTAAAATATAAATCATACACGTCAATATAAGTGATCATAAATGTTCACACAAACACTATCTAGCATTAAATATTAAATCTAAATCAGGACTCAGAAGCGACTAACTTACAGATTGTTCTAAATAAGTTTTCCCTTGTTTTGTAAAATAATGTTATGTTATTTGTTATGTTATGTATTATATATAATATATATAATATGTATGGTATGTATGATATATATGATATATAATATATAATTAGGTTTGCCTGGATCGGTTTGCAGACTTTGTGTGCAATCCATGAATCTTGGTGCTGTAGCCTAGACTAGCCTAGCCGTGGCTGCTGCTGTTGTCTCGCCTCCTTTCAGATACGCTCTCTTTATTCAAGGCTAGGTTTAAAACAGTCCTCTATAGTTTAGCATATGGCTAGGAAGGTAAGACTCAGGGAAGGCTAAACTCCTCAGACTGTCAGTCAAGCTGCATAGGGAGTCAGTTTGCTGGGAGAAGTATGGTAACTTGAGCACTATCCTCTCCTCCTTCCTACTTTATCTGTTTAGCATTTTTAGGATTTTGACTGTAGTTTGTTCATCGCTATTCACCCGTTGTCCCATTGTCTGTTTCACGGTACAATGACGGGATCTCTGAGCCTGGCCTCCTCCATCTACACCTGCGGACTGCCCCACCCGACCTGCCTGGGAGTGCTTCAGTCCTGCACCGGACCTGTCCACGTTCAGCGGCCACTGGTCCACGTTCTGTAGCTAGCTTAGGTCCTGGATCATTAGTCTGTCCGTCCGGAGGAGCGGATCCCTTTCTCATATGGGTCTCCCTCCCTGTGGGTTTACCTAGTTCTCCCGAAGGTTTCTCACTTTTTCCCACTGGGTTTTTTTAAGAGTTTTTCCTTGTCGATGCAGGAGGGTCTTGTTGGACAGTTAGTGTCCAACAGAAAGGATTGGTGATGATCAAGACACTTTAGCATTCTACAACATGTATGGACATTTTCTTCATGTGTTTTAACTGTTGATTCTCTGACCTGTGTTGGTGATTTCAATGGTTTTGTTAAGTCCTCTGAGATTACTTCTGTTGTGACCTAGGGCTATACAAGAATACATTGTATTGTATTGTATTGTATTGTAATGTGACATAAAAATGTTGAATACATTTCATCATCTCATGTGGTATGTGTCTAAATTGTGAGATTCTTAAGTCTTTAACTGACCGAACAACGTGCAGCTATCTGGGTGCAGACCACAGTGGTGACCAGACCAGGGCAGGTTGCCAGACACAGCGTACGCAACTGTGGAACCAGCAACAAATCAAGGGATGCGCGGGATATTCTTTTTTTTATGCAGAGTAGCTTGATTAGATCCTCCACAAGGTCAGAACCTAGCACAACAAAATAAACAGAGATAATTAAAAATTAAGTATAAGATAATACATGTTTATGATTTAAACAGTGCAAAAATGTAAGGCTTACATAGTACATTGAATGGCCCCATGATCTGTCTGAATATGTAGTGATCCAAGTACTTGTCAGAGTAATCCTTTACCCATATAGTATTTATGTTATCCACCACACTGAGAAGACAGAGGCGAGTCAAAGAAAGAGTGCCTTGGACTTCCTCTGTCATGCTGTGGCTGTCCATCCATCTAGGGGACTCTCTCTGCCTGCGCAGCTTTTTCCTTTGGTCCCCCTTTGAAGCTCCGTACAGAGGCATTGAACAACTTCCGTGAAAAAGAAAATAAATATAAAACAACATTGTCATGGGTCAATGATGTGCCATTAAAACAGTAAACATGTTTTAATAAAAGCTGTTTGTATAGGCTGGCTAGTACCCTGCTTGTATGTCTGTGACAAAGGTCGTTAAGTCAGAATAAATGTCCATGTCAGGCCTATCACTGTCATTATACTGTTAAACTGAGACAGGCAAATAGAAAACAAACACTCTTCACCAGAAAATGTACTTGTACACTGCAGCTTTAACATTCATTTCATGATCACAACAGAGTTTTAAAGAGTTTTACAGGTACACAATCTGAACATTCCTGTGATTTACTTACCTTTTTCCTGCTCACCGAAAGTGTCAGTGGGCTACTTCCTGGTTCGTTGACTTCTTACGCAACACTGACGCCAATAGACCAAAGGAAGCATTTAAAGTCATTTTGAAGCTAATTTTTTATGTTCCTTTTTTTATCCGTACTTTTTTGAAGGGATGCTTTTCATTTTATTTTTCAACAGCAGTAGTCTCAGAGGACATGACAAAGTATTAATACAACAGTTCGAACACAGAAAATGCAATAATCAGAGGAAATAAAAGGTCAGATCAGGTCAGTAAGTAATCTTTATTTATATAGCGCCTGTCTCACTCCACCCAGAGATGGGAGCGAGGTCCCCAGTACAGGAGGCGCATGCCAGACCCATTGTACATAGGTAGGGGAAACCGGAGCACCTGGAGGAAACATACACAGACACAGGACATATCTCCCATGACCTCGCACCAAAGTCTGTGTATGACTTGTCAGACCGCAGTAAAGTGGGCCGCATCTTTCACCTCCGAAGTAAAACGGCTCGCATCGAGAGAAAAACAGTGCGCGTTTTGTTGACTACTTACCGTAATAGCGGAACAGCCTTTCGCAGTCACCTTCTCCTCGAACAGAAATCGCGCTGAGGAGACTCGTTTTTGTGAATAAACCCATATTTGGAAATCATTTAATTTGGTCAAAAAGTGAAATTTTCATTAACTGTCCATTTTTACAGTAAAGACTTGTGTGGCTTATTCCACTGGGTTTATGACCTCGACGCTGTGCCTACAACCACACACCTTTACTGTGGAAATGTTGGGTAAAATTGAGACAACGTACACTTTAGTGCAAAATACACAAAACTAAAAACATTCCCGCTTTTGATCTACAGTAACTTTTTACTGTAAAAAGGTGTGTGACTCATTTCAATGGATTCATGTCCTCATTATTATGTTCTACCACTGTGCCAAAGACCAGAAACTTTTGCCGACATTTGGAGAAATATGGAGTTAAAGTAGCCATTTTGGTCCAAAGTAGCCAAAAAATGGTCAAAACATGTCATTTTTGATCTACTGTAACTTTTTACTGTAAAAAGGTGTGCGACTAATTTCACTGGATTCATGACCTCATGATTGCCCTCTACCACTGTACCAAAGACCAGAAACTTTCACTGTAGAAATATTGAGAAATATTGATTTAAAGTCGCCATTTTGGTCCAAAATACCTCAAAAATAGTCAAAACATGTCACTTTTGATCTACTGTAACTTTTTACTGTAAAAAGGTGTGCGACTAATTTCACTGGATTCATGACTTCATGATTGTCCTCTACCAGAGCTGTATTTGCATTGCCGGCAGGTGCAGGCTGCCCTTTTTCACCGCTTCTGTTCACTGTCATAATGGACAGAATTTGTAGGTGCAGCCAGGGTCCGGAGGCGGTCCGGTTCGGAGACCACAGGATTTCATCTCTGCTGTTTGCCGACGATGTTGTCCTGTTGGCTCCAAGGAACCAGGACCTGCAACATGCACTGTGACGGTTGCAGACGAGTGTGAAGCGGCTGGGATGAGAATCAGCACCTCCAAATCCGAGGCCATGAGGCCTGACCGGAAAAAGGTGCCTTGCCCTCTCGAGTAATGAGTAATGATTAATAAGTAATGATTATTTATATAGCGCATTTACATATAAAAAATAATAATTATATAGCGGAAAAAAAAGCATCTGCGCATGCGTCAGCCGGCGCAAGCTCCATTCATTTGAACGAGAGACTTCAAAAATTCACAGCGAGCAAAGTAGAGTGGTCCGAAAAAATTCACCCCCCTCAGCATTGACACATATGTGGAACGGAGCTTTGGGCCAAGAGCCAACTTTTGGACCATCCTTTTCGAGAGGTCTGCCAATGCTATACGTTAGCATTGGCTAATTCTTATTCCGGGTCCAACCCCATCGGCCCGGGGTGGTATTGCAAGCATGCGCATCATTTTGGCCACGACAGAACACCGGGACCCGCCCCCACTGATCAGCCCCCAATCTTCACTATCCTTTAATACCTATTGAGCATGTTTTTAGTGGTAGGGGAAACCGGAGCACCCAGAGGAAACCTATGCAGACACGGGGAACATGCAAACTCCACTCAGTAACTCCCTGTTCCGACTGGGATTCGAACCCAGGACCTTCTTGCTGAGAAGCGAGAGTGCTATCCACTCAGCCACCGTGCCGCCAAAGTGGAGATGTCCTTCCTCACGTGGAGGAGTTCAAGTATCCCGGGGTCTTGTTCACGAGTGATGGAAGGATGGAGCGTGAGATTGACAGGTGGAGATTGACAGGTGGATTGGTGCAGCGTGCGCAGTGATGCGGCCACTTTCGATTTACCGGTCAATTCTTGTTCCCTCCATCACCTCTGGGTATGAGTTTTGGATAATGACCGAAAGAACAAGATTGTAGATAAAAGCGGTGGGAAAGAGTGGTTGGACACTTCCTTAAGGTGTTTTCACCCCGGACTCAACTTAGACTTGAAAAGCGTCAGTTTTGCACTGAAAATGAATAGTGAAGCGCGTCAGGTGACGCTGAGAGGCCCGGCGTCACTTGAAGCGCTTCAAAAGACGCGAGCATTATGCGCGTCACTTGAAGCTTTTGACACGCGTAATGCTTGCGTCTCTTTTGTCGTAAAAAAGTCCCTTAACGCCGAAGTTGAGAAAAGCTTTTGGAGCTTGACGCCGGGCTTCAACCAATCTGGAGACGAGGAGCAGCAGCAGCAGCAGGGCTGTCATGTAGCTGCTGCTGCTTTTTCATTGTCATTATTGTTATTTGTAATATTATTGTATTATTTGTATGAATAGTAACGTTCTTAAAAAGTAAGTAACACAATCAATGTACATATGCTGTGAAGTTAAAGTAATTTATTTAGTATAAGAACAAGCTAAAGCTGGCTCAGACACAGCAGACTGAAAGACAGGCGCTCCTCCGCGGGAATCAGTGCGAGCTCCAGGCGGGAGCGAGAGAAGCTCCTCCCACCCGGCGTCAGGAGCTTCAAGCACCAAGAGGCGTTCACACCGGACCCAGCGTCAAATATTGCGCGTCAAAAGCGTTTTGAAGCTATCGGTCTGGAAGCGCCTTTAGGTTGAGGAGCTCAGTCACACGGAAGGAGCTCGGAGCAGAGCCTCCGCTTGCCCCTTTTGTGTATTTTTTACCAAGGGGGGTACTTTGACAAATTATTTCTCAAAATTTTCACAATAAAAGTTACAGTAGACCAAAAGTGACATGTTTTGACCATTTTTAGGCTATTTTGGACCAAAATGGCTACTTTAACTCAATATTTCTCAATATTTCTACAGTAAAAGTTTCTGGTCTTTGGTACAGTGGTAGAGGGCAATAATAAGGTCATGAGTCAAGTGAAATTAGTCACACACCTTATTCCAGTAAATAGTTACAATACTTGAAAATTGCACTAGCGGACCAAATTGTGTACTTTATACATGTAAACAATAGAGTGGCTATCCTCCTGAGGACTCACAATCTGCAGGAGGAATCGTAGGGGGCTGGTGCTATGTGTGCCGGGTGGCATCTCTATAAGGTTTTAATCACAAAAACGTGTCTCCCAGACCCCAGCTTTCTGTTCGATAAAAATGGGTGACTCCGAAAGGATGTTCCGCTGTTACCGTAAGTTCTCAACAAAACGCGCACCGTCTTTTCCCCGATGCGGGCCGCTTGTTCATAGAGCTGAAAGATGCGGGCCACTTTACCGCAGTCTTGTCAGTGCTATATGAACCAATTTGGACTTTGAGGAGTATAGGAATGGCCTCCTACAGGGACTCTGTGGAGCGCAGGGACTGGACTCCAGCCAGGACTCTGATTAGCATAGGGACTGGCATCCTGCTGGGACTCAAAGGAGCACAGGGACTGGCCTCTTGCTGGTGCCCAGAGTCATGACTAAACATGGGGCAGCATAACAGATCTAGCGCAGATAAAATCTGGAAATCTTCCTGAAAATATACCCTGCTTTGAAAAGTTCTGTGTTTATGAACTGTGCTTTTTGCCCTTTTCTGTTTTATTTAAAGTGTTCAATAATAAATCACAGCATTTACTTTGTTAATTTAAACAAAATGCACTTTTTTCAAGATTTACGTTACATTATTATTCTCTTGTACATGGGTGCAGGTGCGCAATTATGAATGTCCAAACTTACAAATATGATTAGGGTGATTATATGAATACAATTACATGCAGTTACTTTTATCTACAAGATTATCCCCGTTCAACAGAACTACTAATCATCAAAAAACAAAATGCGTAAGAAATGTAATTCAGAATGCAGTAGTGCAGTCTAAAGCTGTTGGCCCATGTACCCAGGCTTACTCCACTCACTCAAGTGCGCCCTCAACTGGATATCTAATGCAGTGCACCTAAACCAAAACCTCCAATACCACAAACATATATAAATACAGCAATGCAATATTTATCATTTAAACTTATAATTAGACCAAATTATAGGACAATAGTACACAACTAAGTTTGCCGCAACATATTACAATGATGGTTTGAATACGATAATAGGTCAATACTCAATATTACAGTTTTTTCCCTTTGTTACAATTAAAGGACATTTAAAAATGAAAATCAATGTAATTGGATTCCTGAGTGCAGAAAACAAAGCAAATCCGGCAGCCAACACTCACTGGCCGTCATGAGGTATTACATAAAAAACATTAGTTCCAGGCAGGAATCTTGTGATAGAGAGAAAGTAGCATAATCTACAACCTGAGCTATGTGTTTCTCACATTGCCTTTGTGTATACACTGTCAGTCAGATTTTGAATCTGTGAATGGGACGACTCTTCTGCCAGCCACAAACACCTCCACAATGTTACGGTCATCCCCTGAAAATTAGATGGTCAGTGATTACTCAAAATCCAAAGATTATTATGAAAAATAATAGCACATACCTAAATTCAGGAACTTCTCCACAAGTACCTAAAAATATAAATGAAGCATATATTTAACCATGCCTATACATATATATATATATGAATGTAATCATTATTTTTTTCAGTGATATCAACCTTTGCTTCTTCGTGTTGAATCAGATCAATAGGTCCCCCTGGCACAAGCAAATTCACCCTCAGAGCATCAAAATCTTTGCCAACTTCAAAATTTCCTATTTGGCCATCCAGTGATAATGCTGAAACACAAAGTTGAAAGACTATTTAGATTGTCACAAAAAAAAAAAAATCTTTAAAAGAAAAATCTCAAAGACATCTATCAGAGAGAACCCCTTAAAGCTGAGAAATATAACTTTTGAAAAACATTTATTTTTGTATCCATCTACAACTAGTTCCTTGCTCTAAAACATTGTATAGATCATCTTTATCAGAGAGAATTGATTTGTTCACAAAAATGTATTATTTGGTACCTCAACTTTGGGGGGAAAAAAACATTTCAAGAACAACCCTTACTCCTCGTTACGGATTAAGTTATTGTCTTTTCTCCTTGACCTGCACAGATCCTCCCACAACCAGCTGATGGCCCCTCTGCATGAAAAGGGGACACATGACAGGCCTAGACCAAGACCAGGCCGGGCCCCGTTTGACCAGTGGGTCCTCTTTTTGTTAAAGTTAAAGTTCTGTTCTGTTACACTTCATAAGAAAAATTCGTTACATTTTGGACCACTGATTTCCGTCTCTGTTCCCCGCCTTGTCCTCAACGCCACCACCACCCATAGCTTGTAACACTCTTATACGTTTGAGTCAAAAAGCATATTGAGTATCTAGACTTTATCAGAACGGTATAGTTACACAGATAAATAATAAAATATGTCACTAATTTCTCGCCATATTACCGTGACACTACGATATACCCTTCATAAACTCCACAACTGAATCTCAAGTTTTGTTTACTATGTATTTTATTTATCAATGCTGAACACAAGAGGTATTTTCAAACAGACGTAGGCTTTATAACCTACCCTGGCTGCCCCCAAGTGTTGCCAATCTGAAAGCCTCCTCAAAGGATAGGGGCTCCAGCTCTGGGTCTTGCATGGCCAAAACCTTGGATGAGTCTTGTGCTCTCCTCAAAGCATCCAATAAAGAAGCCGAATATCCACCTGCTACATCTATAAAAGACCAAAGCGAGATGTCTGTTACAATAGCAGCAAACTCACATGTGTTTTAAAGGAGACATTCATAGATTTGTTTGAGCTTTCAAGCCCTTTTACAACATTGTTCCCTCATTAAAACAGACCTGAAGATGTTTTTAGATCCATCCAGGCCAATATCAAAGAGCTTCGGGTAAAAACATGTAACTCAGTCCCTTCCGTCTAAAATCTCTGAATTACTTTTGGAAAATTGTCAAGCAAAATTAGGTTCTTCTTGCATTAGTGTTTGCAACCAGAAATGTATAAATAAAATAAATTTAAAAATTAAAAAACTACCCCTCCCTCTGGTGGTACTATAAAGCAGACTGATAGCATTATTTATCCTTGATATTTGTTTCACTATATACTGTACATATTTTCTACTGAAGATTTGATTTCACGTTCTAAAACATAACATGTCAATGGAGTAAAATGTCTCCTTCATTATTTTTAATGGACAAAAATTCTGCACTTTTTCTTTAGCTTCAGTATAGAGTAAAATATTCCATTCTCACCAGTTCCAAGCCCCAACTTTACATTGTGCTTCAAGACATTACGTACATTCAGTATGCCGCTACACAACCTACACCACAGAATAAATACAGTTATAATAGACACTACGCACATGTAATAGACATTGAAGTGAATCAGCACTGAAACAAAACTCACGAGATGTTGGAGTTGGGACAGTGAGACAGAGATGCTCCTGTTTCTTTGAATAAGGCCAACTCCTCATTACTTAAGTAACAGCCGTGGGCCATTATTGTCTGTTAAAGGAAACAAAATATTCATATAAAGCATAAGGATGAGGCCATTACATAACATAAGCTGTGTACAGGGAAGCCAACCTTGTCAGTAAGCAAGTTATATTTGTAGTAAACATCAGTGTAAGATTCAGACTCTGGAAAAATGTCTTTTACTAGCTCCACTTCTTCTTGGTTTTCACTGATGTGACTCTGAAAAAAAAACATTACATCAAATTCACAGCTCATTGTGTCCTTTTAAGTCCTGTTGCAGCACGTGCAGGTACACAGCTGCCTGTGACACTCCCAGGAGGCACTGCAGGTTTGGTTGCTAGAGAAAGGTCACCTGAATGTGCAGGTTGTTATTCTTGGCAATGGCTCCCAGCTGCCCAAGTAAAGCTCCAGTACAGGATGGAGCGAAACGTGGGGTGACCACTGGCTTCACGAGAGGGTACTGAAAAACACCAGCAGTCAGGTTACAGTCAATAGCAAAAAATGCAATATTTGTTCAGGTAAAACCACCAAACAATGTGTCCACAGCCACTTGAGTCAGTTTAAATATTATAAAAGTAATGTGTGAACCAGACATGGTCCAGTTAAAGTGAACTAGATAAAAAAGGTGAACGTGCCCTAACACTATCTTTATTTGTAAATGATTTCCTGGAAATATCAGCAGAAAAGACATAATGCAGAGGCAATTCATAACCGTACTGTAAAAAAAGGTTCACTTTTTTACCCAATTTGAAATGATTTTCCAAACGTACAAAGACAAAAAAAGACTTTCTCTTTTCTTTTCTTTCAAGTAACCAATTCTTTCAAGAAAACATCCAAATTGTTTGTTTTATTATAAACTTCAAACCCAGGACACAATTCCTGATAATAGGGAGGGCCTTTCTCACTTCAATCAATCAATCACATTTTATTTATAAAGCGCTTTTCATCCAGAAAATGCAACACAAAGTGCTTTACAGTTTTGTTAAAAACAATCCCACTGGCCCATGACCCCTCCTCCTGACCACCCAACAGACCCACCCCAAACCACATATTATTAAGAACTCACACACGCGCTGACGCACACACACACACGCTCTCGCCCACGCCCACACACACACACACACACACACACACACCAGTAAAACAGGTCCAGTTTTGGAGAAGTCTGAGCATTAAATTATTTATAAAAAAAAAAAATCTAAAGGTAATGTTAAATAACAACAATAATTTGGTCAAAAGTTCTGTATATAAAAAATAAGTTTGAACCTTGTACTTGTGTCCTGTCTACGCTGGCAAGGTGGTACACAAAGCTCAGAGGGTTAGACATTACATTTCACTATTACACAATTATGTCAGGTTTTACCTTTTTATCCAAGAGTTCTGCAATAAACCTTTGAGAAAACAGAAAATACCGTTTTAGTTCATGCAAATGAAGGAAATATGGAATACGCACTGACCGACAAGTTTCCTCCTGAGACTCATGAAGAGTTTCTTTGTAGTGTTTGACGGACGGGTTTCTGTCCATACACACTTTACCCACTAAGGCTCGTTGACCAAATTCATCTAAATCGTACAAGAGAATGTTAGGCAAAAGCATCCTTTAGTACGTACATAATACTTACAGCCATGATTATATTATTAATTAAGGGTTTAAATTGATATACTGAAAACATTAAAGCTGTGTCAACAAATTTTCAAACCACAAAAGGTAAAGGAACATTAACACCAAAATATGTTAATGTCCTTTCAAAAAAATTAATTGTATTTTATTTTGTTCTGAAGGCCTACACTCAGAAAAGTGGGGGCATGCTCCAAATTTCAGTTTTATTTTTAGTAAAAAATGTCTTCAGTTTTAGTAAAAACCCTCACAGACATTACGACTATAGAGTAAAGGTTACTGTGACTTCAGTAGTGAAGTGTAAATGCCTCTGCGAGAACTGTTGAGGTCACTAATCATTAGACACACGACAGTAAGATATCTCAATAATGTATAATAATGTGATTAAAATAAAACAAATGACTTTGATTCAGACACTTTCTTTAAAAATGACTCAAAGTAACAGCATATATTTGGCAATACCCTGTCAAATAAGTACTTGAATGTTTAGACTTTTCTTACTTGCAATCTCTCCCAGCAGAAGAGAGGCGTTGGTATGTATTGTGGCAAAGTAACATGCAGTGGTTGTTCCATTTCTCAGTGTTCTTTTCTGTTAAGAAGAAGAGTCATGTTACAAGTTTAAACTGGCATAGTTCAGTTTTAAAGCCAATAATTGCTTGTTCTCAGTTTTCTAAAACTACATTCTTTTTGTAAAGGTAGATTCACAAAGATAATACCAGCATTTTAAATGTGCGCCCCTTTTAAACTTAAAAAAAATCTTGTTTTTTTGTATTGTAATTTTCTTCAGGGGGCATTAAAGCAGGATTGAGGATTAGGTTCAATCAAAAAAAATCCATTGAGCCTGACGAGCCTTAGATATAGACAAAGAGTAATAGATAAACATACATAATAGACCAAATGAGAAAGTATGCATCCACAGTACATACCCTCCAGGAACAGGTCAGTCAACGTACCACCACTTGTTTATAGACCTTCCGTGCAAAGTCTAAGTCTTTGAACTGTGATTCCACAGGAAACGTGTATGTGTTCAGCCACTGCAGCAGAGGCAGGTCCAGAGCTGTGCCTGCATAGCTATACTGTGCAGCATGGATGTGAGTGTCCACCAGTCCTGGCATAAAGAACTCACTGGAGGAAACAGGAATAAGGATTACTTGAATTGAAACAGACCAAAAAATATTCACTATAGCCATGTGTTTCTGCCTCTTTCAAAATCACTTAAATCTTGTGGTTTTGGTCAATCGTTGTAAGAGAGCTCTATATTTTATAGAAGGTAAGAAAGACAATAATAAAGGTAAACTTACTGTTGGGAGAGTTGGATGATATCAGATAGATTGAAGTCTATAACAAATCTGCTCAGGTCCTCGCCTTTTTCGACAAAAGCAATCTGACAAAAGATGTGCAGTTTAAATCAGAAATGCCACTCCTCTGATTCATAAGTAACACATTAAACTGTTGATAGAAACAGGAACATGAAGGCAAGCCGCATGTATCAAATAAACAATAGGTCAGCATATCAGATCAGAAAAGAGACATTACATATAAAAAAAGAAAGAAAGAAAGAAAACAAAAATCAACACGGTGAATTAATCCCTTTTCCGATTCCAGAGAGTCACCGCCCACAAACGGGTAAGGGTTGCTTTAACTTGCTTACTGACAAACGCTAAAGAAAAAATAACCCCTGGTAGAAGTAATAATTCCCAGGTAATCTACACCCAGGGACGTGCAGACCTCGTACCACAGTTTGCGAAACACTACACGAGAGAATTTAGTTCAATGCAAATCAATAATAAATCAGAGTTCGGTACAAACCTTCCCATCCGTGTCCACTCCTACCAGAGCATCTTCCAAGATCTGAAGCGCGCAGTGAGGGGTCGAGTGCACGAACGTCCCCCTGAAAACGTGTCTGATTCCCGCTGGGTTGAAACTTGTGCTGGTAGACATCTCCTCTGCGTATGAAGTGTTGTCAGTGGTGACGGGGTTGTGTATATGATGCTTGAAGAGACTCCACCTGCCTGGGAGGAGGCAGCTCAGCCAATCGGATCGCTCCATGACATCGCACGGGCGCGCATGTCATGTCATTAATATATACAGTCATGTCATTAATATATATGTCTGTGAACGTGCAGCAGCAGCAGGAGTCGGGAGGGGCGTGCGCCATTAGCGCAGTAAAGATGATTATTACACTCTGCAGCTGAACAAATGATAATCGCATAGAGCCATTTTATTGACGCATATGAAATGGGAATGCTGTGGAAAACAAAGCCCGTTTAAAGAAGGAATGCATTATGCAGAGATAACATTATTGTGCGTTCCACCTGACACTTTTAGTAGATTGAATCGTCAAACTTGTAGAGTGCAACTGACAATATCCCTAAAGAATGTTATATAACGTTTATATACGAAAAGGCTAAAATGTTTTTTATTGTTAATGTTTCAAAAGTCCAACGCAGCTTTATTATTATTCTATAGCCGCAAGAGGCGTCGCACAGCACTCACCTTCACAGACTTTGAAGCATTTGAGCGGTGCCTTCAAAGGACTAATTCAAATGTGATCAACTATTGATGGTACACGTGTTTAGCTGATGTGGAGTTAATTTGAGCCTTAACTGTGAAACGACCAAGTCTGTTTTATATAAGTGCGTTTCAGAGATTTAAAGATTTTCCCATTGACACAGAATAGGGAGTGTTTGTCAGGGTAACAGGGTAAGACATAGGTCTTGGGTATCGTTGACTTTTTGAATCAAGATGCCAAAATAGAATTATTTGAAACATTTAAAAAAATTTAATTTAATTATCCTCCCTTTCAGATGACCAAGGCCCAACCGAGTCAAGTTTAGTGCAAATCGTATAATCATGTATAATCTGTGAGTGTATACATAAAAAGGGTCTCCAAATGGCAGACCCTTTTATCTGAACCTCCTTGACTTTTTTGTGCCACACTTACATATTGTTTGGTAATAAATAACATAAATAAGAGAAAGAGAAAGACCAACAACACCAGGGCAAGGGTGCCCAAAATAAATAAAAAGCGCACTAAGGCGCACAGGTTCGTTAAATCAGGCATATGCAAAAAATTAAGTAACTTTGATTCATTATCTTAAGATTTTCTTGGTTCAATATGTTTTTTAAATTTCATATTTATATTCACAAGTGCACATCATCTTCCTGTCACGAATGACAAACAGAAACACGGGAGAACAGAGAAAAGCAGGAGAAACAGCGGTGGGTCGCGATGTGGCCATTCCCCTGCCTATAGATTGCAGTAGAGTCAAGTTAGCTAATAATCAACCACATATACTGTCAGCGTGTGCAGCTAAAACCTACTACTCTACGGCAAAAGCCGAGTGCGCATCCTTGACGGTTACGGTTTAAAGGCCGAGACCCACAGCCAGCTACAGCACGCAGGAGGCCAGACGCCAAACCGACAGGACAGCATGGCCATATACAAGCAGGACTCGCGGGGCAACAAGGCCTCACCGCGGCTCTACAACAACAATCAACATTTGTGGCTGCAACTTACAAATATTAGCCTGAACAGTAGAGCTCTACTACCTGGAGCAGGAGAAGGCGGCGCGACGAAACACAGGAGACAGAAGTGCAGACGTAAACAAAGACGCAACTCGAGGCCCTTTATACTTTTATGCAAATATGGTATGGACACAAATATAGCGGCCAAGTCCAGCTTGCCACAAAAGATCTTCACCAAAAGTGATCTGTAAGCAGGCATGCATGAGTGCGGCGGTGTGCACAGCAAGGTCCTTTGGAGAAAACTTCGGAGCTGTCAAAACAACTTTAGCAGTGTCTAAATCTGAGTGAGTCGAGGCGGGCCAAGATGGCAGCCTGAGCAGACGCTTTTTTTAACGGGTCCGCCAAAACTTATTTTTACTTTGGAACTTTTGCTACAACTCTAATTTACCTTCTAGCAGGACCAAGATTGAAAAGGAATTCAAAAGAGGCTAATGCTACGGTTACTCCTAGCAACAACAAAACACATCTACACCTGCCACGGACTGCGATCACCTGATTTACTGTATAGTGACAAAGATATGATTCTGGGAGAAGAATGCTTTCCACCCCTTCCTCTCTCTACCAAGAGGACTCCTTGTAAAGACCCTGTACCATAGAAAGCTTAATTTGTGACACTCGGAGGTGGAGGTGAGGGGAAATCTGGCTTTGATAAAGATGAAGTCATTGGCATTGTATCCAACCTGATGAACAATCGTTTTGACCTCTTGGAAAGTCTTATCAACTCTAATACACTAAAGATTGAGGGCCTTAAGAAGTCTGATGACTTTGCCTTTGATGATATAAAAGATGTGAAGAAAAGAGTTGACAAGATTGAATCCAAGATGAGCAAATATGGAGCCACTATTCTCCAGCTTCAAGAACGACTTGTTGAATCCGAGCGCTACTCAAGACGCTGGAATCTGAGGCTTTATGGCGTTCCAGAGATGATGTTAAAAGAGAAACGGATTCGGATTTGCCAACACATTTTCCCTGAAGGAAAACAAAAGCTGCTTGGCGTGATTGGCACAGTTCACTGTTTGGGGAAACTAAAAGAAAACGAAAGCAAACCGAAAGGCATCATTCTACAGTTCTCTTCCAGAACTCTCCAAGACGCCATGTGGAAAGCAGAAAAAAACAACCCTTTCCTGAAGGAGCGCCATCTTTACTTCCCCAAGGATCTCTGCCAGGCAGACCGAGAGAGAGCAGCACTGTGGCCAACAGTCCAGGCAGCCAGACAATAGGGAATGATTGCACATTTCAGAGTGGGCTTTTATCGTGGACAGTCTAAGGCACACCTGTGCACTAATCATGATGTCAGATCAGCATCTTGATGTGGTGGGATGGATTATCTCAGAAAAGCAGAAGTACTCACTATCACACATTTAGATAGATTTGTGAACAATGTTTGAGAGAAATGGTAGTATTGTGTATCTGTAATGAAGTTTTGATCTTTAAGTCCATCTCATGGAAAATGGGAGCAAAAACAAAAGTGTTGCGTTTATATTTTTGTTGAGTATATTTTCCCCTCACACGGAAACTAGCACTCAGCAGGCACACTCCCAGTAAAATATAGATATGAAGGTGACGTCATCTCACCTGTATGTGACGACCAGGGCCACTTTGTTTTTTTTTTTTTAAAACGTGGATGACTCTTAACTTTCTACTTCTTAACCCGGAGAAGACAGAAGTAATCCTACTCGGTCCAAAGCGCCTGCGTGACTCCCTCGCCGACCAGATGATCACTCTCGATAAGGTCAGTATTGTACCCAGCAACACTGTGAGGAATCTGAGAGTCGTTTTTGTCGAACAACTCTCCTTTAAGGCTTATATACTGTAAACCAAGCAACTAAAACGGCGTACTTCCACTTGCGGAACATCACCACAATCAGGAATTTTCTTCCTAAAAGTGACGCGGAAAAACAAATCCATGCTTTTGTCACCTCAAGGCTTGACTACTGTAACGCTTTGCTGGCAGTGTGCCCTGAAACCTCTTTGAAGAGCGTCCAGCTTGTTCAAAATACAGCAGCTAGGATCTTAACAGGCACCAAAAGGAGGGAGCACATAACTCCGGTGTTAAAATCACTCCACTGGCTTCCTGTGGAGTACAGAATAAAGTTTAAAATTCTTCTCTTGGCATACAAAGCCATAAATGGCTTGGCTCCCTCGGATCTTCCAGACATGTTAATGTCTTATCAACCAAGCCCAGCGTTGCGCTCACAAAACGCCAGACGTCTGGTGGTCCCTAAGGTTTCAAAAAGCACTGTCGGTGGCAGAGCATTTAGCTACCAAGCTCCTTTACTGTGGAATCAGCTTCCCACGCACGTTAAGGAAGCAGACACGGTCCGTCCGGGAGGAGCGGATCCCTTTCTCAACTTGTGAGTCTCCCCAAGGTTTCTCACTTTTATCCTACTGTTTTTTTTGGTGAGTTTTTCCTTGCCGATGCAGGAGGGTCTGTTGGACAGTTAGTGTCCAACAAAAAGGATGTGGTGATGATCCAGGACACTTTAACATTCTCAAACATGAAATTTTTTTTTAACATGTTCTATACATGTTCTACATTCTGTATTCTTTATGTGTTTTAACTGTTGATTCTCTGATCTGTGTTGGTGATTTCAATGGTTTTATTAAGTCCTCTGAGATGACTTCTGTTGTGACTTAGGGCTATACAAGAATAAATTGTATTGTATTGTATTGCAAATATGAAACTGCTAAACTTCTAACGAAAATTTAGCTCTGATTTACATAAATCAAAGAAGGCAGAAGAGGATAGGATTATCCATGAAATTATGACATTATCCATGAAAAGTCCAGCTGATCAATCAGACGTCGACAAAATGAATTTAGCCTCTTCACAAAGTAAATCAAATGAACTTTATAAAAATTGTGCCTCAAGGTGCCTTTGTAAGATCTTGTCTGAAATGGTTGGAGGAGGATGACAGTATTCCTAATTTTTTTCAATTGGAAAAACATTGCGCAAACTCCAATACATGAATTTACCGGTTGGAACAGAAAAGCCAGTAGTATCAACTGGAATACAAGCAATTCCCACATTTCAATTATTTTTTGACATCTCTGTCAATGGAAGCAAGTATCGCATGTTATGCTATTTCACCATATCAAGCTATAACAGTGGTTCTCAAACTTTTTACACCAGGTGCCACCTCAGAAAATACTTGCCTCTCCAAGTACCACCACAAATGACCAACACTACACAGTAGCGTAGTAAGTATTCATCAAAAACAAGGCAGAGGTTTTATTCCTAAAGAAGTATATTTAATATTGTCAGCCATTGTAACATTTTACACAGTCTCAACAGTAAGACTGCTCTTAAATATAGGGGAAAAAAAACTTAAAAACCGAACTTAAATAATGATTTAATTCATTTCATTAAGAACTGCAAAGCCTTGACTCACTGTGAATGATATTCTGGAGTGGGATGGCCTTCTTTGTCCACCAGAAGGTTTGGACACTGCACTTTTGTTTATAAGGCTTGGTCTGCTATGGAGGACCGTGGCTGCCAAAACAATAAATATATACAGAAA